ATATACTATTTTGTTCTCTTTTATTATACTATGGTATACTTGTCGTAAATTAATTTTTTGTTAAAAAATGCATTTTTGTTTTGATCAAGAAATAATTTGAAAAACATTGTTAAGCCTTTATATTATGTACACTAGGTTATGAACTATTTTTAATCAATCATTTATATGACTTATAAGAAACAGTTTTAATTCAAATGTACATATTTATATAAATTAAATAAAAATGGAATTCCATTTTGAAATTATTACTATTTTAAATTCTTTTCAGTGTGGTTTTTTTTTCTGTATTTGAATATGGTAAATTAATTTAATTGTACCTTTTCTATTAATTTCAGACTGTGAACATAGAACTTTCAATCTTTCTCTTATTATTTAATTGCTATTTTTATCATAAGGTTAATCTACTCTTCATTGTTTTATGTTCAACTTGTCCATCTATGATCAAATAGCTAATTATTAAATTGTTTCATTTTCCATGGTTTAAAAAATCAACTTAAGTAGATGATATTTGCTTATGATTACTTTATATATATTAAAGTAATATAGCTTAAAATTCAGTAATACATTCAAATTCTTTTAGTGATGCATTTATTTACATAAATTTAAATATTAGTTATTGCTGTTTTCTAGTTATGAACTTGGTAGTGGTCCTGCACAAATTAAATCCCCCGTGAAAGTGAATGATGGTAAAGTTCATTCTATTGTCTTGAAAAGGTAAGTTTTGGAAATTTTTATTTTGTATGCGAGCAATTAACAATAGAAGTTAATATTTTATTTTAATGCTTTTCAAAATATATTATTTAATTCTTAATATCAAAGTCTAGCATGATTATATATAATAGTGTTTACCATAGTATTTTTTTCTAATTCAGATAAATGCTGAATAATGAAAAAATAATTTTGGTATTCTGTAATATTTTTAGGTGAACAGCAGTATTTAAGTATTTTGTTGTTTATAATTTGAATATTTCTTTGACACCATCAAATTGCTAAATTAATAAGCGCATATTTATTAGATTATTGTATAATTAATGTTTTTACTTTCATTGTGCAGTTTTTTTCTGACATAAATTGAATTTTACTTCAAAATATAAAAAACAAAACAAATGTGTATTTAATTTTATAAAAACTGATGCATAAGTAATCCAAATTTAGTTTTTGATTTGTAATAATTCAAGCAGTTTTGGATGTTATGTTACTTTTTATATGTATAAAAAATTAGAATCATTACATTAAAATGCAACTTGTAAAAATAAAATTTTCAGTGTTGTGTAATGTTAAAAAAAATAAATTATATTTTAATTTTTTTCTTAGGACTGGACGTCATGGAAGCTTAGAACTGGATGGCATTCATCAGGAATTTGGTGAATCTAAAGGTATTTTACAGATGCTTAACACAGATGGGGATATCTATATAGGTAAGTGCAATAGATAATTATTATTTTTTTAAGGATGAGTGAGTGTTGTAATTGGTATGTACTGATACTGACGCAAATTGTAGGTGGTGTGCCAAATCATCAGTTGATGACAGCTGGAAAGTATCCTCAAGGGCTGATTGGTTGTTTATGGAACTTGCAGATTGATGACTCTGGACCCCTTAACTTATTTGATAGTGCCAAGACAGGGGCTAATGTCCAAGACTGTGACAAGTGAGTTATTGATGTAATTTTTATATGTTTCGACTGTTGACAGTTGCATAAAAGGCATAACCATTTTGTTTGCTAATGGTTACATTTTACAAAGTTTTAAAAGATAGATTATATCAGCACAGTTAAGATTTCGGTTCTATAAAATGAGAAACTAACAAATTTAGGTAAAATGTTGCGATTGTTGAATGATAACTTCTTGTAATTTGGAAATGGGGAGAATGTATCTCCTTTTGAAGTATAAAACATAAACAAATAAAAAATGATGTTATTTTTTATTTGTTTTAAAAAAATTCAAAGAGTTGCTTGGTAGATTTTTGTGCTAGTTTACATTAAATTATTTTATATTAATCATTCTTCTATTGTGAAACAAATGTATGGAAGCTGAATTTCAGTAGTTCGTTAGTGCTTTTCCTATTATTAATTGTTACTTCCTTTATAATTTTTTTTTGTTCCTAAGGTTCAGATTACTTATATGGTAATATCTCTAATAAATTAATAAATTTAGAATAAACTTTTTCTCTTTAATGCATGTTTTGTGTTATGTAGCGTAAAAGTTGAAGGCTGTATTTAAAAAAAAATCGAATAAACTATGTATGAGGAAATGAATTTTTTAAATTTGGTTATTGTCACTCTTTTCAATCAATTCTTAGCTGTTAAGTAAGTAGGGTCTGAATGCATATTTAACTTATTCACTTCTATTTGAAGTAATTAAAATAGATTGTTTATATTTTAATAATAGGTTCATAAAGTTGTGTTAGGTTGGTTGCTATATGTTCATTCCTGTTTCATTTCAATTCATTTTATTTTTTGTTTCAGTTATGAAGCAAGTGGTGAATTCCTTGAAGAATTAGAGGGTCGTTTTGTACAGAAATAACTGTAGAAAAAAACTTCTAGCCAGCTAAATGCAAAAAATGGACAAGTTCTAAATAAAACTTTCTTCTGAAAGAATTTTGTATAGACAACATTTAGTGGCTAATCTTTCTAAAACTATCTTCATGTTCGAAGTGTCGACTCCCAATTTGCTCTGCATACTCAAAGCTGCTATGCAAAAGGACCACAGTATGCTGTGCGAGAAAAATTCATGCTTCATGTTTCCAGTTATTAATTACATAGCATATTTCTTTGAATACCATTTCACAAAGTGAAATGAAAATGTTTTTTTTCTCTTTCCCCCCTTGGAAGCAGATGTATAAGCCTACTTAAATTGTTTTGGTACAAATAGATTTTTAAATCTCAGTGAACATGTCTGCATGATTTGTTCTTTATTTGAAGTATTATTGTTATTTTTTTTTGTTTTTATTCAATCATATGTCACTGCCATGATATTTCTTTATTTCATTGTTGACACTAACTGTGTGTTGTCTGTTTGTCACATTGACATGGTGCTACGTCAGACAGTTTGCTTCTTTAAAGGTACAGTTAAGCCGATTTAACAAAAAATAAAAGTGGCTTGTCTTGCAGCAGCGCTCAGTTGTGTTTGTAGCTGAAAGAATCTATTTGTTGTAAATGTTTTCTCATTATTGTTAGGAAAGAAAAGTGTCTTTTATTCCCAGTGATAAATTTAATTGCTGTTGTTTGATTTAAATGTTTTTATGTTGTCTTTTTTTTAAAAAAAAAATTGCATACAATTTATAATGAATTTCTCTTATACGATGTACTTTTAGCCTCCATGGTTTTGTGCAAAGTGTTCATGTCTGCAAAAGTCATAATGACTACTACCCCGTGAAAACTTTATTTAAAAGGTCTGAAATAAAATTAACTTTATTTACTTTTGCCTTGTGTTTATTTATATTCCAAAAATTATAATTGAGCCAGTTTAGCTACTATCTTTTTTATTTGTCACATGTGTAGCTTATATATTTATTGGTTTGAGAATTTTGTCTTTTTACAAGTTTTGAATTAACTGAAAACAAGTAATATAAACAAAAAAAATTCAGTCTTTTTCTACACTACTGGCTATTAAAATTGCTACACCAAGAAGGCGACAGGCTACAAACATAAAATTTAAATGACAGGAAGAAGATGCTGTGATATGCAAATGATTAGCTTTTCAGCGCATTCAGACAAAGTAGGCGCCAGTAATGACACCATGCAGTATTGCTACTTGCATGGGTCGAGATTCAATGACTGTTAGCAGAATATGGAATCAATGGGTTCAGGATGGTAATATGGAATGCTCTGTTGGATCTCAACAGCCCCCTATCACTAGCAGCTGAGAAGATAGGCATGTTACCCACATTGCCTTAATGGATCGTGCAGACCCGTCACAAGTCCTGTGTCAAGAATTGGGATAATTTTCAAGACAACAAGTGTCTGCACAAACAGTTCGATGATGTTTGCTGCAGCATGGACTCTCAGCTCGGAGAACATGGCTGCAGCTACCCTTGACGCTGCATCACAGGCAGGAGCGTCTTCAATGGTGCGATCAGCAACGAACCTAGTGCACAAATGGAGAGGTCATTTTTTCAGATGAATTCAGGTTCTGTTTACAGCATCAAGATGGTCCCATCCATGTTCCAATGTTCGTTTGCCATCATCATACTAGCCCATCACCTGGCATGATATGGGATGCTATTGGATACACGTCTCAGTCACCTCTTGTTCTCATTGACAGCACTGTGAACAGTGTACGTTATATTTCTGGTGTGTTACTACCCGTGGCTCTACAATTTATTCTAGGAAACCCCACGTTTAAGCAGGATAATGCATGACCGCTTGTTGATGGTACTGTACGGACCTTCCTTGATACGGAAAATATTCGACTGTTGCCCTGGCCTTCAAGTTCACCAGATCTTTTACCAATAGGAAACATCTGGTCTGTGGTTGCCGAGGGACTGGCTCATCACCATATGCCAGTTTCCACTGTTGATGAGCTGTGGTACCATGTCAAAGCCGCATGGTCATCTGTACCTGTACATGCCATCCAATCTCTATTTAACTCAATGCTATTCCTGCCAGAGGTGATTGTTTTTTGGTACTGATTTCTCAGGATGTATGCACCCAAATTTCTTGAAAATTTAATCACTTGTTATTTCTAGTATAATATACTTGTCCAATAAATATCATTTTGTTATCTGCTTTTCTTCCTGGTGTATCAATTTTAATGGCCAGTAGTGTATTAAGGTCAACAAAGAAAATTTTTATTTTAGTTACTTTTTATTAAAGTTACAATTTATATAAGTATGTATGTACATATGACAGAATCAAATATTAAGTGACAAAATAGAAAGTGATTTTCCTTTCTTTATAGAGTGTTGGATTATTTTCTGTTTGTTACTATTTATTCATTAATTAAATGTAACTATTTTAATAAAATAGTATAGTAAGAAAGAAATCACATTGTTAGAAATTAGGCCATCCCAGGTGGGATTTGAACCCATGACCTTTGGATAAAAAGTCCAGCATGTGCTATCCATTGCACTACAGGGTCACAACGAACGATTTTCCTTTCTATATATGATGTTTGACTATTACTTTTTGTTTGTTACCATTTATTCATTTTTTAATTTAATTAATGAGTTAATATTTGAAAAAAATGTATTCGAACTTGAATGGATGAATAGAAAGTATTTTATTAACAATTAAAACTTTGAACAAGATATATATATATATATATAGGGAGAGAATGGACTATAATAGTAGGAATTGTGTAAAAAAGTTTGATTTAATAAGTTATAATTGAAATGTTATCACTTGGCGATTTTTTGTGATCTATATTTTTAAGAATCGATGTTTAAGTTTAAAAAAAATCATTTATGACTAATTTAAAGGTGTTGTAACTGTAGTATATTTCATCCAAATAAGTTTTTTTCTGTTTCCTGTAGAAACTAAGGTACAGTGAATTCGATCTCAAATATAGTTTTAAAAAAATCATACAGATTTTAACTTTTTTCTCAATGTTTATCTTAAGAACATGATTAGTTTTTTTTTTTTGATAACTATGATTGATTCTGCAAGCAAAAGGTTTGATTTTTTTAAAGTATAATTTTATCATTGTTGATTCATAATATTTCTGCTACATGTTAAATATATTCAACTTCATATGGCCTGTGATCTTTAATTTTAGTTGTCATTTATGAGGCTGTTGGGTATTTTGCCCTTATGTCACTTTTTGATACATCAGATTTTTAATGTACTAACAAAACCCAATTGCACTTTTTGCAAATATTATATGCATCTATGTGATCTATATATAAGAGTTGCAATTATATATATAATATAATATAATAAGAAAATTTTTATACAAGATGTCTGACTTTAATCTAGTTGGCCTTTTGAACAACACGTCACCAATTATTTACAAATAAGTGATAAGGCATACATTGAAATAGATTTTTTTATCTCACCTTTCTATCCCTAGAAGCATTGCCAATAACTTCTTCAATATTTTTTCATGCAACATTAAATAGTAGCAGAAATATCTTATTCAATCATATTGAAATATGCAAGATAATCTATCATAAATTTTACATAAATGTCAATGAAAGTGTAATTCATTGAACCTCAAGCTTTCATTAAATATCTATTGCACCTCTTCAAAAAAGGCTAGTCTAGTAGGTAAAAATGCATGTAGTTAAAAACGGAGAATGTGGTCACTGAGTGATAGTTAAAAGAAGAAATGTGGAATCCACACGAGACTCGCTTAGTGTTATGAACCAGTTTCGGCAATGAGAAATTAGCTCGGTGTAGTTATTTTCACTAATTTGTTTCAAAACCTGGAGATCAATTGTTGACCACAGTAGCCAAGTGGTCATGGTCGACATGTTTCCAGCTCTAATACCACTGAAGAGTCGCTGTGTCGAGGCTGAATACCCTCCTGTTGGGGGATCTGAAAGTTTAGAAAGTGGAGTGCCAGCTCAAGTGTTGTCCTCATTACTTGATTGTGGTTCAGAATTACGAAGTCCATTGCCAATAACCCTCGTGTTTCTTCAAAGTAGGACAAATTAAATTCAAATAGAGATCCGTTGCTTGTAATTTATTGAGTTGCTTTTATACGCTGACACTTTGGAAATGTACATAATTACTGCAATGTATTTGCTTGGAAAAAGTGCAAGATCATTGAATTCAATCTGTTGTGAACATCAGGATTGCATTGTTGTTGTTGTTACTAATGCCACCTGATCGGCAAAGGCCAGATCGAAAGCCCACGAAATTCATCATGGCAAAGGGCTAAGTGACGCCTGTCGTTAGCCGTAGCTTTGAGCACCATACAGGTGACAGTACGATTTGGCTCCATTCAACCCCAATTTAGAAAGAACACTCTGGGGGGGGGTCAAAGGCCTCCCACCTCTCTTCCACCAACCTCACGAGAGGACTTGTGGCTCGACGGCTATTTAGAGTACCCCCATGCCGTGCAGGCACTATACATTTACAAGCATCCATGTCTTCTCCGGGATTCGAGCCCAGTCCCTACGGCACAGGAGTCAGCGTCGCTAACCACTATACCGGATGGTGACTAGGATCGCATTTAAATATTAAAATGCTTGCTTTTAATTGCATTGTACATGATCTTAGACGAAATTCAAGAACTGCATATTATATAAAGTATACTTATATAATGTGCCATTATCCATGTACTTTGTCAACAAAATTTCAAAGTTTTTTTTTTCGCGTGTGCAATGAACATCTGTGAGATGCTTGACATTTTTTTTTTAATTTTCTGAATATTATGAATTGTTGGAAGATTAATAAGTATAGATTGACTCACACAACTTATTGGTTTAGTATTTATCACTCAGACTTTTGTGGAAAATCTCTTTAATAGCTAGAGATGTCTAGCATTCTATACAGTTCATACTCCAGTATTCATTGCATGCATAAAATATGCATCATAAGTTCATTTTATTATGTTAAAAAAGTTGGAATACCATTTATAAGTTTCATTATTTCCATTTCGTTGTAGGTGGATAAAATTCATACCGCTGTTACTCATTCAAAGAGAACTAACTATATTAATTATATAATCAGCAATAATTAATTAATTTAAAAAATATATCTTTCCACTCTTAGAATTTGATTTTTTGGGAAATGGAATAGAATGGTTTATAAAGCTTTTGCTCCCCAAATTTTATCGAATTCGATCATTAGTAAACAAGATATTTTAAAAAATTGTTAGGGGGCAATATACAGTTGGGCCTCTATATAACGAAGTCTCTAAATCCCGAAAAATAATTCGTTATATGGAAAAAAAGGTTCATTTTTTAATATTTTTGATAAACAACACAAAGAAAACGAATTTTAAAATCATAAGCACTATATATATTAAAAAACAATTATTCACACATTTTTGTAAATTAATATCTATTTATTTTATATATCTTATCTATAAAAAAAATGAAAGAAAGAAAAACCCCAAGAAAACTTTCTTCTTTGATGCTCAAGCACTTACGTTTTGACATTATCAGGCTACAAGAAACGAAGTTATCAGTACGACTGATTAACACTACAAATAAACATAGACTAGTTCAAGGACACGAGACAACTCCACTGTGGGTAAAAGGGGATATCGAAGATGTTTCTAGTGAAATGGGCAATGCGGGTTAAAAGTTGCACTTCTTGGATGAAACGCCCAGAATGCTATTATTCCCTGTAAATTATGCACCTAACAAAACCAGTTCAAAGATTTATGACCACCATAAAGTGTGTTAAAAGAGAGAATAACTTGAAATGTCCAGAAATACTTTGAAAATAGGGAGGAATAAGATTGAATCACAAGAGAAAAAGTTCGTTATATAGAAAATGCAGTTCGCTATTGAGAGGTTACTTTACGAAGAAAATTGTGAAATGTTCTTGGTTCCAGGAAAAAGTTCGCTATATAGAAAAATTCGCAATATAGAGGTGCGTTATATGGAGGTTCGACTGTATATGCTATTCTGAAATGCTTAATATTTTATTTTAGTAATAATCATTTAACATTTTTAAAATTAATTTTTACTTTTTTTTATTTTCATACAACATAACTTTTTTTAAGTGTTAGTTTAAATATTATATTTTTCTATTTTCGCATATAGCAATGGCTTTTTGAGTTTGAGTTTAAAAGAAAGTTGCCCTGAAGCGAGATCGTAAGAACGGGTTGATGTGGGAAAAATTTCAAAGCAATTGCTTTGATTCCTCAACCGCACCTCGAAATGAGTTAGCAGGTGCATTTTCGGCCAGAAGACGGGAGTCTTTGGTTATCATATTGCGGGATTTTTAGATTAGAGCATTACGCATTTTGTTCAGTGGTCATTATAGTGACGGTCTGACACTTCCCCCGTAAGTCTGTTTAAATTCCACGATAGTTAAGAAAGATAACATGACCTTTCCTGATGACTTCTTGGGGAGATGCATGGACGTCTTAAGCATGGGTTTGGGTCTCGTCTCGTTCTCGACTGAGTATGTACGTAGGCTTGTGATATTCCCCCAGGGTGATTATCTCTGAGTATCAGCGTGAGCTAGAGGCGTAGGATTAACGAAAGAACTAGAAGGAAACATTATCTTAATATGATATTCAACTTAAACTTTTAACAAATTAGATTATAATAATTTATGTGAGAGAATCTACGATGGTAAAACACACACCACACACAATATATTTATAATAACGACTTAACCTAACTCGGACCACTATCAATAACTGAATCACCTAAACTCAATTCTAATACCATCACTGATCCTAATATTAAATAAACAATCCTACCTTGTTGTAGTATCAGTAAACGATCATACTAGTTTTAGATGAGGTCTTGCGATAACTCGTGTGCAATGGTATGCACCTTAATTAATGGATCACTATCACGTATAATTACTATTCTTCGCCACTCAACGTTATCTAAAACTTCTTCAATCTAGAACCACGGGCTGCTTACATTCCTCTAATTGCCATCACTTGCCACAAATTGTCATCGCGCTTACTCTAACTTCTGATATTTAAAAGGTTCTTAATTTGCATCTTTCTTTCACACTTCCTTTCTTGGATTTGGTTGGAAAAGAGTTGCCATTAATTCTGGCCGCAAAGGACATGTTAAAAAAAAAGACGCGCGAGCCCGTCACAGGCTGTTAAATAAGTAATAAGACTAATTTTACTGCCACAAAACCACTAATCGGAATGTTAAGTTCTGTGGCATAAGAAAAGTTTGTTGTCTGTATTAACAAAAGCTATCGATAGATGGCGCGTGCAGACTCGTATTCTTGAGTATCACGGGATCGAACTGAAGCGTGTTTGTAGGCGCCTACGAGACGCGCCCAGTTGTCAAAATGGAAGCAATAATCTGCAAAAATCAGCATCGGAGACTTTTGATATGATTAAAGACTAGAACAAGAAGGCAACAATATCTTAAAACGCTTTATCACAGCAGATGAAGCTTGGTTGTATTACTATGATCCAGCCATAAAACAAAGCAGTGAATGGAAACATTCATCTTCATCTACTCCCAAGAAAGCAAAAACTGT